CCACACTTTCCCTTCACAGATGTCAAATTCGTAGGAACCCCCCTTTGAACTTGATTTTCAAAATCACTATCATCATCAACTGCATTGCAAAATTCAAAGTTAATACTTATGTATTGTATAATTCCAAAAAATGCAACTAATCAAAATAGCTTTTCATTGGCAGCTATTAATGTAACCATTTCAAAATTTAACATTGAAAAAGTTACAAAGTACACTTATAAATGCAATAGTATTACTTTTTAACTCATGTATATTACTTTTAGTGCAACTAGTCATCATATTATTTCATATTTAATATAAATTCTTATACCTTCTCCATCGTCATCATTTACTGCATTTCTTTCCTCTTCATTGTTCTCCTCCCTTGCAATAATAATAAAATTCATGTGATACCATGTCAACCCGATTTTAAATTAAAGAGGATGTTTGGTGTTTACCTTCTGATTCCTCAACATCAGTTAAAATTTTATCAGAACAATCCTTATCATGCTCAGACCCTTCTTTGTTCAACTCTTCTGTTGATGTTATAAAAATCAACAAGTACACTTATAAATGAAATAATATTACTTTTTAAGTCATACTCATTACTTTTAACAATACTAGTCATCATGATATTTCAGATTTAATATAAATTCTTATACCTTCTGCATCGTCACCATTTACTGCACTACTTTCCTCTTCATTGTTCTCCTCCCCTGTAATAATAATAAAATTCATGTGATACCATGTCTACCCGACTTTAAATTAAACTAGATGTTTGGTGTTTACCTTCCGATTCCTCAACATCAGTTAAAATTTTATCACAACCATCCTTATCATGCTCATGTCCTTTGTTCAATTCTTCTGTTCATGTTATAAAAAATTAACAAGTACACTCATAAATGCATTACAATTACTTTTTAATCCATACACATTACTTATAACAATACTAGTCATCATGTTATTTCAAATTTAATATAAATTCTTATACCTTCTCCATCTTCATCATTTACTGCATCCCTTTCCTCTTCATTGTTCTCCCCCCTGCAATAAAATAAAATTCATGTGATGTTATAAAAACTCAACAAGTACACTTATAAATGCATTACAATTACTTTTTAATCCATACGCATTACTTTTAACAATACTAGTCATCATGTTATTTCAAATTTAATATAAATTCTTATACCTTCTCCATCTTCATCATTTACTGCATCCCTTTCCTCTTCATTGTTCTCCTCCCCTGCAATAATAATAAAATTCATGTGATGTTATAAAAACACAACAAGTACACTTATAAATGCATTACAATTACTTTTTAATCCATACACATTACTTTTAACAATACTAATCATAATATTGTTTAATTCTTAATATAGATATTATACCATCTCTATCTTCATCATTTACTGCATCTGTTTCCTCTTCGTTGTTCTTCTTGCCTGCAATAATTAAAAAATCCATATAATACCATTTCAAACACATTTTGTACCTTCAGATTCTACAACATCACTCAAATTTTTACTAGAACAAGTCTTATCATGATCAGATTTTTCTTTGTTCAACTCTTCTGTTAATGTAATATAGAAATGAACAAGTACACTTATAAATGCACTATTATTACTGTTTGACTCATTTACATCACTTTTAACAGAATTAGTCATCTTCCTTTAAAAAAAATTGTAATTGAAATAGTACCATACCTTCAATAGCTGAAATAGTACTTCCTTTTTGTTTTTGTGATGCATACATCTTCCGGGTTATCCTACCAGAATATCTGCTCTGAACATTATCTATTCAAAAAAATTGAACAAAATAAAAAAATTATCAGTCACAAACTAATAAGTAACATACAGGAACTTATTCATATAAATGAATAACTTATAGCATACTTCGTTTTATTTTATATTTCTTTTAACAATAGCTTAATCCCTATGCTTTTGTTATGCTTGGTTAACTTGTGGTTGGTTTCAAACTAATAAACACTAAAGCAGAACTTATACATCAATATCAATAACTTATATGACATGGTTTTCTTATGTTATGTTATACAGTTGAAAAAAATACACCATATAGAATATATTTCCTACATTGCATGATTTATATTGTGATGTGAAACAAATAAATAACATAGTCTAACTTATACAAAAAAATTGTAACTTATACCACATACCTTGTTCTGCTACAACATTAGACAGAACAGCATTTTCAGGAATACCGATTTCCATATTATTCAAAATCTGCTTCTCCTTTTGTGTCCCTGACCTTGTTCTAGAGAACTTTTGCTTAATTGATCCCCAATTTGAATTTCCTTCTTTTGAAAGTCCTTGCATATTTGTTACATATTTGATTACTTCATAACCAATTTTCATCACTTCAAGTAATTATCAATGAAATACACTAATTTAGAATTATAATAACCTTGTAGTACAGGAACATTGACTTGCACATTAGACTGCAAATTAGATTTGCTACCTTCTTCTTCAATAAATTCCAACTTCTTACTTGCTTTGGATGTTGGTAGCTTCAATCTCTTCATTCCAGAATCTAAACAGATTAAAGTAATTTTAACTTTTACTAAGCAACTTCTAATTCTTAAAATATTACAAATCAAACATCAATACATATTAAAACAGTGTTTAAGTTCCTCAATTTTGAACTTACGCATATAAGAATAACTTGAACATGAACTAAACACGGAAATTTCAATAATAATGTACAATTTAGGTCATATTGTACAAGTTCATACATTTCGAAGTTGGATTTAGACAAAAACACAATTTATTCTGAAAAAAATCAAAGTCGAAAGCAAAATACCTTCGAGAAACCCTAGCGCTCTTTGTCTTCTCGTTCTGCAATTCGTCGAAGATTTTGAGATTCCTATCTGCGCTGTTGAACATGAACTGAATTAGTGCGACTACCGCCGTTGCTCGATTGAAAGTCGCCGTAGTCGCTGGAAGTACCGTCGTCACTGCTGCGATTACTTTTATCGTTCGCGATTCAACTTCGTAGAAGCTTATTGGACGATGCTCGTTGCAGTTTCAGAACTTTAGCGCGTCTTCGGGAAGTGTAATGTTTAAATGTTGCGCGTTTTTAATTTTAAAATCTGGCCATTGATTAACTTCTAATCGGACGGTTCTAAGAGCTTCTCACTTTTCAGCCGTGTGAGGCTTCTCACCATATATATATATATGAGTCTCATTTACTTGAAAGTTTTAGAAAAAAACCCAAAGGGAGTGTAAGCAAAAACTTTTTTTCAGTTTGGTTACTTTTCACTTTTTCTATTAAACAAAAGCATTTTGTGTCGAATATTACAAAGATTTTTTTTTTTATAAAATCTTTTTTTAAAGGTGAAGAAGTAACCAACAGCCCCAAAGTTTATCTACTTTCCTTCTTTAGAAAAATTTAATGTATTTTCCTTTTGAATTGCTTGGTGTTTTTTGAGGTAAAAGAAAAAACAAGCAATTTATTTAGCTTGATATATACGAAGTATATATATATAGTCCATATATATAGCTAGGCGGAGTGGGTTGAAAGTTGATACACACACTGACACATTGCTAAATCCCAGTCATTGTTTTGAAAAAAATCATATACAATGCGTAGCACTCTCTACATAAGTTAATTATCATATTTGATTTGTATATATAAATCATATTCCGATCCAAAGAAATGGATGCGCGGGGCATAGAGATTTTAGAAGCAACAGAAGATATATATGGAGGGGTTGAAGTCGACATGAAGGAGAAGAAGATGGATTCGAACTCCTTTGCTACTTTGTTGAGAGCTTCGATGCAGCTATGGAAACAACAAGTACATATATATACCTGCTTTATATTTTGAGCATATCTATCTGCTTAATTAATACTTTTTCTTTCTACTTTTTCTACAGTTCCACACATCTAAATTCTATTCCGAATATGTGTGTGTTTAATTTGTGATTATATTATAACTTGGATTATGATATTTAAGCAATATTAGCTTGTTGACTTACAAGTATTGATAAAAAGTATTTCAGTATATATATGATCGAGACTCCTTATAGTATTATTGTTAATAAGAATAATATTCAGGTCCGGCCAGGCTGGACCACTCCCCCCGTCCGGCCTCCTCCATTTGGGGGCCTTCCCGGTGGTATTTTTTGCTCAAATTTTTTGTGTAGGTTCCTCATCAAGTCTAGTTCATCCATACCAAATTTCAGCCAAAAATTCAATCGGGAAGGTCGTCAAATGATTTTTGCAAGTTAACTGGTCAGCCAAAAATTCAATCGGGAAGGTCGTCAAATGATTTTTGCAAGTTAACTGGTCAGCCAAAAATTCAATCGGGAAGGTCGTCATATTCCGGACCAGTTAACTTGCAAAAATCATTTGACGACCTTCCCGATTGAATTTTTGGCTGAAATTTGGTATGGATGAACTAGACTTGATGAGGAACCTACACAAAAAATGTGAGCAAAAAATACCACCGGGAAAACCCCCAAATGAAGGAGGTCGGACGGGGCTACCTGACCGGAAGAGTACTCTTGTTAATAATACTAGAAGTCCCATACTCATGAGTCATGGCCGTGGATGATGGAGATCTATAATACTCGAGGAATATGAGTTTTCTGAACGTCAAAGAAACATGGTGGGACCATTAATATATAATTTGTCAATATACAACTCTGACCATTAATATATAATTTGTTATTAGTTAAAAAAATTAAAAATCACATTTTGAAAATTTATCATGAGACAATTTTTTTAAAAAAATTAATACATTAATAAATAAAGCTAAGCTTAGTCAAAGTAGAACATCTAAATTTTGTTGAATTTATTTAAGAAAGGAGGAAGCATATATATAATATATAGACGAACGCACATACGTACTTTTCCTATCTCCAAAGCTATCCCTTACATAGTATATGTTATGTTATTGATCGATTACTTCGATCCATGTCTATCATTGTATTAATTATAAATTTTGTGTTCATATGTATATGTATATATATATATGTATATTATTCATTATTGTATGTTATTAGAGGCCCCGACATAACTACCATCATATTCCTTCATTTCCGCAATTCAAGCTTCCAATCACGCACTAAAGTATTATTATTGACCGCCGGATTATGAATATGTTCAATATTATAGCAAGAAAATTTGCAAAAGGTTTCAAATCTTCAGCCAAAGTACTAGATAAAATTGATGACAAATTTGGAGGAGTGAAGGTCGAAATGAAGGAGAAGATGAATCCTTTCACCTTTGCTACTTCTCTCAAAGCTTCACTATATCTATGGAGTCTTCAAGTATTTATTCTTGTTTTACTTTTTGCGGTTTCTACTTGTTAATATTTCATGTGAATAGAGTCTCATCTCATATAGTGCATAGTTGTTTAATACTTTATAAATTCCGTGTGGACTTCACCACTACTCATTTCGATTCACATGCCATTATATGTTTGCATATATAACTTTTCTGTTTATATTTGTTTTTAGAGAAATTATGCATAACATTACTAAAACATTGCATGGATTAATTAGGTTTATAAATGTGATTAATTCAGTGTGTTATATTTCCAAAATATGACTTATTTAATCTTTATAAACATTAAATTTAAAATCCTTTAATTTCTTGTGGTCCTCTTCGACCTCATTTGTCTATTACCCTAGCTGACTAAGCTCCAATAAGGTTTAATATTACTTACATTCTTTATATTACTTGTCACTTCACGAAGTATAATGAAAGTTGAGGTGGATAATAATTAGTGTAGAAAATATATGAAAGAGGAGCAAAAGTAAAGGAAATTAGAAAAGATGAGAATAAAAAATAGTAAAAGTAGAAAATGTGTAAAAGAGAAAGAGAAAAAGTAGGATAAAAGTTTCCAAGTATTGTAATTTGTGAAAATTGGGAAGATAACATTTTTTTTCTTTTTAAAAAAGCAATAAATAAGAAGTAAAAAAGAAAAATAGAACATTCTTTTTATATTATTTTCATTACTAATATTATTAGTGATATTGTGATTATCATTAATTTTAATTAATATTGGTGATAGGGGAAAAAGGGAGTTTGGTTGAAGCTTCCAATAGAGCTTTCATATCTCGTTGATGTTGCCAAAAAGGTATAATAATGCATTGAATATACTTATGTACTTAATTATATACTATAGGTTATGTATATAAGTGATTTATTATGCCTGTCTTGGTTTCTACACATTAAAATGAAAGCTTTTAAGTGTGCACACTATACACACATATATAAACATTAAGTGAAAAATAAGAATTAATCAGGACCATTAATATCAAAATGAGTGACAAGAGATCAAATTTTAAAGGGAAAACTGTCAAATAGGTCCTCGAACTTTCATAAAAAGGTCAATTAAGTCCTTCTATAGGAGGTTCTGTCCGGCCGTCGCGATTTGCGGCAGTTCCCGGTGGAATTTTTTGATGAATTTTTTTGAGCATCTTATTCACCAAGTCTAGTTTACTCATACCAAATTTCAGCTAAATATTCAATCGGGAACACATTCAAATTAATTCTTAAAGATAACTGTGCATTTTTGCGTTCTCGAATTAATTTGAATGCGCTCCCGATTAAATTTTTAGTTGAAATTTGGTATGAGTAAACTAGACTTGATGAATAAGATGCTAAAAAAAATTTCATCAAAAAAATCCACCGGGAACCGCCCCAAATCGCGACGACCGGACAGAGTCTCCTATAGAAGGACTTAATTGACTTTTTTATGGAAGTTCGAGGACCTATTTGACAGTTTTCCAAATTTTAAATAAGAAACACGGTGATATATTGTAGTACTTATAATGAACTTTAAATGAAAATTATTTAACTAATGAGTATCAGAGTAGGAATTAGTGAGCGGTTGTCTCTAGAATTAGTATTTTAATCCAAATTAACATGTCCACTTACCTACCATTCAAACATGACCTAAAACATATTTTATGTTATGTGCACTCCATCTTCCAAAAGTTTTGAAGGTGCACCTCATCCTTCAAATCCTAGAACGCCATATGCGTCAATGTTGGCCTTCAAAGTTCATCGCATTTCCAAATTTGATACTTTATTTACCTAGTTTAATGTAACATATTTGTGTAACATGACTTTACAATTGACTTACAAACATATGGTGTTTCATTGAAATTTGATTAATAAAGCATATACTTCTCGTAATAAATTTCAAAATATTACACATTTGTTTGCAATAATTGTAAATTATATTGCACAACCTTAGAAATGATAGTAAAATTAGAATGGATGCAACAATTTGCACAATAATTTATACTACGTATAACATTGGACTATTAATTAAACGCAAGTGCAATATTTGAGACAATCACAAAAAAGGAGAGTAATAATATTTGTGTAGTGAAATCATAGAGAGAAGATATATTAAAGATACAAACACATTTTTGACATCGACCATTAAAGCATGTATGAATATTTGGAAGACTCCTAATTTACATTGGAAAAATATGCAAGTTTTGGCAATACTGAATGTTTTAAAAACATCAACACATGCCATGCAATATGATTTGTTCATTTTGTTACGGTGCAGACACTACAAAAAAAACACGGGATTGGCAGGGATTTTGACACGGATTTGGCACGGATTTTGGCAGGGATATGCCAAATCCGTGCCAAAAACACTTTGGCACGAGCTATTTGGCACGAAAAATTGATAAGTCCGTGCCAAATTCTGTGCCAATCCCGCCTTTTTTTGTAGTGCAGACAAAAATTAGAACATCAACTTCAACTAGGGTTATATCAAATAAGGGAAAATAAAACACCATACAAAATAAAACATCAATTCACAAAAAAGGGAACACTATGCCATTTGAGAAAATAAAATAACCGCATTGATAGTGGAGAAAATAGGAAGCATGTGCGAGAAGTTACTCAAGCAAAAAAATTCAGAAAAATAAACGCTTTGGGTTGAAATTTAAGATCAATTAATAATGATTTCAATTAGAAATGGTAAAGAAGGAAACTTCCGAAAGATAAAAGAAAGTCTTGAACATAACCGAATGAAATGATGTTTTCATAATAATAACCTTAAAATGGAATCCATTTAGCCGAAAATTAATACGTAGTATAAAATTATGCATCTAACGGTATGTATAAATGTTTTCTCATTTCTCTCCCTAGATTTTATTCTTATTTGAACCAAACTTTCTCAATATAGATATATATGATGTTGAATTCAATGTAGAGTAAAGGATGTGAAATAAAAATGAGATAAAATGAAAACACGTTTCATATTGATATTTACTTCACGGGTTTATAATATGAATATTAGGAAGGATTTGTATATCATCATGCGGAGGAAACATATATAATGATGGTGTACTGGATACCAAAAACTCCTTCCACTCTCCCGGCAAATGCTTCCCATCAAGTTGGTATTGGTGCTTTTGTAATCAACGATGAAGGAGAGGTAATCACACACACACACACACATCTTACTACGTATTAATTAAAACTATAAATGAAAAAAGAGAGCAATTCACTTTCGGCTCGAAGATGAGAATATTCGATGGGTAAAAATATAAAATTTTTGATGGATGGATCACCTCAAATGCAATCATCAAAGAATTAGTTAATGTTATATTGGCATACATAAATAATTATATGCTATATGCGTAGATGCTTGTGGTGCAAGAAAAACAAGGCAAATTTGGAGGAACGGGATTATGGAAGATGCCTACTGGCGTAGTGAAAGAGGTAATCTAGCTAACTATTACCTACAACATACGTTAGTTAATTAGATGTATTAAGAGTTTCTTAGTATGTTTGGCATAACTTGATGAAAAGAGTCATTTTGATATATATAATAACTGATAGCTTTTAGTGACCAACAATATCTTATAAAATAAATGTTTTTAATAGGATTGTTTCCTATTTCTTAGGAAGTTGCTTACTTTCTCTAAAAAATGTACTAGTAGCATATTAGCTTCTAAACATCTTGAACTTTAAAACTTGCCCTAAAATTAAAGGAATACAACTAACAACTTTTACATACTTTAATTAGTATTCCATAAAAGAGTTAGAAGGAGAAAGTTATTATACCTAGCTACAAAACATGCGCATATATAATGTATTAATGTATATATATCTGATCTCTTAGGGTGAAGATATATGTGATGGTGCCGTAAGAGAAGTTAAGGAAGAGACAGGAGTAAGCTATTTTACTTCAATTTGTACATGTGCTTATTGACCAACATTCATATGCTTATTAGCTAGATATCTAGCTACTCCTATCATTAGTATATTTCAATTCTTATAAAAGTACTCACCAAGAAAGATTTTAATTGGATGTTTCATTTTTTTTATTCCCCCGAAGATTGACGCGGAATTTGTTGAATTCCTTGCATTCAGGTGAGCCTTCCTCTTATACTATTATTGTTTTTGAGTCACATGTGTTATTATTATATATATTTTTTCTTTGACTTTGCTTGTTTGATAATGTTGGGATAGAAATCTAACTGATTTCTACAAATTCAACCAAACATAGATGACAGATAGAAACCAATATACTTTCAAGGGATACTATAGGAATATATGTGAAGCCTAACAATAACAGGCTGAATATAGACGCTAGTGGTCTAGACGTTTGAGTTCAGTCCTAGTGTTGCAAACAAATAGGGAGGGAGTTACATTTTTGCATAAAGGGTTGAAATCTTTTAAATTTCATTAAATATAACTATTCGTATTGCCGCAACGTAACGATTGTCTAATTAAAACATGGTTTAATATTAAAATGTCTAAAATAACACTACTTATAATACAATACAATACAATACAATACAATACAATACAATACAATACAATACAATACAATACAATACAATACAATACAATACAATACAATACAATACAATACAATACAATACAATACAATACAATACAATACAATACAATACAATGCAATGCAATACAATGCAATGCAATACAATACAATGCAATGCAATACAATGCAATGCAATACAATGCAATGCAATGCAATACAATACAATACAATACAATACAATACAATACAATACAATACAATACAATACAATACAATACAATACAATACAATACAATACAATACAATACAATACAATACAATACAATACAATACAATACAATACAATACAATACAATACAATACAATACAATACAATACAATACAATACAATACAATACAATACAATACAATACAATACAATACAATACAATACAATACAATACAATACAATACAATACAATACAATACAATACAATACAATACAATACAATACAATACAATACAATACAATACAATACAATACAATACAATACAATACAATACAATACAATACAATACAATACAATACAATACAATACAATACAATACAATACAATACAATACAATACAATACAATACAATACAATACAATACAATACAATACAATACAATACAATACAATACAATACAATATAATATAATATAATATAATATAATATAATATAATATAATATAATATAATATAATATAATATAATATAATATAATATAATATTGGAGTGGTATCATGGTATGCTTCGTAAGAAGCACTTTAAGCGCATGTTTAGGTTAGTAAGGTGGTTTTTAAGCAGCATGTATGTTTACTTTACACATCTTACTAACAAACTAACTGTATTTTTGGTAATGAAGTAAACACATCCTTAGAGATAAATTAATTTAAGTTTCTCTTTAAATTTACATCCATCAACTAGAAATGACCTAGAATGGTGCAGTGTTTGTCTGCTTAATAGCATGCATGATCTCATTTCCAATAATAAAACATGACTTTTTACTTTGATCTACTTGCTTAAAGTTATTAATCATTATATTGTTATTTGTAGGCAAAATCATAAAGTACTATTCAGCAAATCCGACTTGTTCTTTGTTTGCAAGCTAAAACCACTCTCCTCTACTATCACCAAACAAGATACTGAGATCGAGAACGCAAAGGTATATATACTGTGTATTTAATACTCCGTAATAATATTGTTCATAAGAGAGCTATTCCTGTCCGGAATTTCCGGACAGGAGCCCCGTCCGGCCCCCTTCATTTGAGGGCCTTCCCGGTGATATTTTTTGCTCAAATTTTTTGTGTATGTTCCTCATCAAGTCTAGTTCATCCATACCAAATTTGAGCAAAAAAATTCAATCGGGAAGGTTGTCAAATGATTTTTGCAAGTTAACTGGTCCGGAAAATACATATTCCGGAAGTTTTTCCTATATATATATATATATATATATATATATATATATATATATATATATATATATAACCTGTTAAGCTAACCAAACATCAAAGTTCGGAAGTTTTTCCTATATATATATATATATATATATATATATATATATATATAACCTGTTAAGCTAACCAAACTTCAGAGTTTGGTTTAGACGAGCCTATTTGGATAAACGAGCTCTAATAAAAGTCCAAGTCCGGTTGAATTTATTTACTAAAAAGCAGTTATGTTCCCACCTATCATAGGATTACAATGTGGTTTGTGTTCCTAAATAGAACTATTTATAAATTTACTCAATGTTGGACTTGGACTTATTTGATTCAAATAAAAGAATAAAAAATATTTCAAGTTTCTTCTTTTATGAGAAACATTTTGTAATGCCTTAAATGCCGAGTGGAGAAAAATAAATTGGATGGTATGATTATATTCAATATAGATTTCTCAAACATGAACAAAATATTGACAATTTAAGTTTCCCAAATAAGATTAATTATGATAGAGTTACAAATAAAGACTTATTTTGTTGTAACAAAAAAATAAAAATAATAAAAACGTCTTCCGCTAGGAGTTACTCTGTCCGCCCCCCTAAGTTTGTCCCGTTTTACCTTTTTCGTCCGTCCCATTATGTTTGTCTCATACCATATTTGGTAATATTTGGGTGGTTACAATTCAATCTTACTTTATTCACACTTTATCAATTCAATAACAACCACACAATTCCAATTTTTCTTAAAAGTTGTGCCACACCCTTTGTCCCAAACATAGTGGGACGGAGGTACTACAAATTAATATTTTAATTTGAGAAAAAAATCAAATGACGTGATATGTTTTACTTCTGTTTAGTGAACTTCCTCAACACTACAACCATTATTTAATACTCTATACTCCATTACATTATTATATTATACTACATATTACAGTGGATGAAAATTGAGGAGTACATGGAGCAACCGTTTGTTAAGGACAGTGAGAGCTTTGGTAGCGTTGCAGAGATTTGTAACATGGCGGCTAGGACGGACGGTGCATATTCTGGTTTTATAGCAAATCCTAAAACAAAAAAGCGTTCTGGAGCGAAGAGTTACTTATATTGCAACAAAATACGTTAAATGTTGTAAGTATATGAGGTTGTTGATGATGATATATATGTTGTGAGTAATTACTGAATCCAGCAATATTATAAATAATAGCTCAACTGAGCAACCCGCCACTTCATGAATTATAAATTGTACCATTGTGTTGTATGTATGTTATTAATCAGTATTTGGAAAAAATGAAATGAAGAAATTAAAATACTCTCATATACATCCAGAACAATGTTCTAAAAGCCGTTAGTGCTAGCTTAGGCCATCTAGGTGGGCGCATATGTATTCCTCTTTATTTTTATTTTATTTTCATTTCCTATACGTTTTAATATTATTTACTAATAATTTTATAATTTATTTATCACAGAAATTTCTTGTATACTTATTATATGTTATGCATTTGTAGTAGAATTATCACTAAAAATGATTAATAGTTTAAAAAAAAGATGTATGTGTTTTAGCCTCTAAAAGTGTTCATATATACATTGTGTGTGTGTGTGTGTGTCTAGGGGAGGGTTAGTTCAAGTAAAAAGTAGTCTTCCCATGAAAAGTGAGAACAAATCTTGGCCTTCCATCACTTGAAAATGGATGGATTAGATGAACTTTAAACACAAGAGATGATTTAAGAAATGTGCAAACGTTAAACTATAAAGTGGATAGTTATTGATTAAAGGTGCACTCATGCGTGTCAAAAAATATTGTTAAAATTTTCCAGCTTGTGCACTTTTTATTTTGTACCGTATTGCACTTTTGTGCTCTACGTGTGCACTTTTTTACTATTCAAATGCACATTTGTCACAATATTTTCAATAAAAGTTCTCCATAATTACAACTATGCCACCATGTTTCCTACCTCAAAATTGATCTCTTTCATCCATTTTTTCACATCAATGGCCAAGATTAGCTCTTATATATATGTATATATATATATATATATATATACATAAACACACACACACATTCCGGTTTAAACCACACTAGGTGCCGGGGGTGCCGGGGAACACCTCCCTAATTTATTGAAATAAAGTTCTGAGTACAAGAGATATGAGAATACATTTGATGAAATTGAAAAAACAAGATATAGGACAGAAACAGAAAGATTACATCAACAATTGAAATTTTTTAGGGGATCCCAATTGAAGCTGAAATAGCTCTGTAAAATTTGTTGTGAAACCTGATTGTTTTCTTAAGATATGGTCTGAATGTTTGTTCCTCCAGACGAGATAACCTAAAAGCTCCGTTAACTTTGTATTTAACAGAGCTATATTATACATACATATATATATATATATATATATATATATATATATATATATATATATATCTATATATAGGGGTCAGTTTAAGTAAAAAGTAGTCTTCCCATGAAAAGTGAGAATAAATCTTGACCTTTAATCACTTGAAAATAGATGGATGAGATGAACTTTAATCACAATAGCCCGTTTCAATAAATGTGCAAATATTTGTACTATAAAGTGGATAGTTTACTGATTAAAAGTGCACTCATGCGTGTAAAAAAAGATTGTCAAAGTTTGCCAACTTCTGCACTTTTTATTTTATACTGTATTGCACTTTTTTACCCTACGTGTGCACTTTTTAACTATTTTGATACACATTTGTCACAAAATTTTCAATAAAAGTTCTCCGTAATTACAAAAATGCCACCGCGTTTCAACCTTAAAATTTGATCTCTTCCATCCTTTTTTTCACATCAATGGCCAAGATTAGTTCTTATTTTTCACCTATGAAGTACTTTTTATTTGAACCAATATATAGGGTAAGGTTCAAATGAGAAGAACCCTTTGGGTGAGAAATGAGAATCAATCTCAGTCATTGGATTCGACTAAGTTGCAGTAAAAGACACTTCATGATGCACTGAAATATGCAATCTAGCACGGTGGCATTTCTGTAAATACTTCTGAAAAATCCGTATTACACGTGTATAGTGCAACATGAAGCTATTTCGGTGCAACGCCGTCAAATATTAGTGCAACATGAAACAGTTTTAGTGCAACATGTGCAAAATTTAAATATTACTGCAACATAAAGCCAATTTTAGTGGAACTTCGTAAATTCAATGGGTGAGATTCATTCTCATTTCTCACATTAGATGCATTTCTCACCTGAACCAAAATATATATATAGGGTGCGGTTCCAGTGAGAACGATGCTTAATGTGAGAACGTGAGAACACTCACATTTAAATCAATGTGGTGCACAATAGAGATATTCTGTTGCACATTTTCAATTTGCTCGAATTAAGCCTATATTAAATAAACACGGTGGCATTTTGGTAAATAATGTGAAAATGTGAAAATGTGCAATATACAAGCTTCATTGTGCAACACGTTGGGGAAAAGTGACGTTCTCACGTTCTCACGTTAAGAAGCGTTCTTACGTTCTCACGTTCTATAGATACATACATACATACATACATACATACATACATACATACATACATACATACATACATACATACATACATACATACACACACACACACACACATACATACATACATACACACACACACACACACACACACACACACACACACACACATATATACATATATATATAGGGAGTGGATCAGGTGAGAAGTGCTCTTAGGCTGAGAACTGCGAAGTTAAACTTATAACTAAATATAAGAACTTTTAACCAATAAATCATAACTTATAGACCCCTCGAAAATAATTACGAAAAAGCCACCGCAAAAAAATAATTATGGAAACCTGGAAAAAATTTTGACGCGGTGGCATTTTCGTAAGTGATATGCACTAATTAGTAGTGCATAAGTGTATGTTTTTATGTTTGATTTATGTGTATTATTTATCGTTTTATTTAGTTTGTAAACATTTGTGTGATTTTAGTTGTAATTGTATTTTAATCTTCATTTATAAGTTGTAAAATAGATTTAGAATTTATGGTGTTGGAAAAGAGGACTTTGAAGAGAATAAAACAAGAAATTTGACTGCCCAGGAGCAAAACCCGACCGGGTAGAAATCCCCACCCGGTCGGGTAAGATTTAACAACCGAAGAAGCAAGGAAATTGCCAGACCCGGTCGGGTCCCCTACTTGACCCGGTCGGGTCAGATGTGACCCGGAACACCAGAACATGCCGAAGATCGCCAGAACGTGGGAAATATTTGATTTTGACATTTACCCGGTCGGGTGGGCACTTGACCCGGTCGGGTAAATGCCCCAGGGTGTTGAAAACACCTATAAATAGCCCCATTTTCCTTCACTTTTCATCATCCCTTCTTCCATACTCTTAAGCTTAGTTTAGAATAATATTTCTTTTATATTTTTATAGCATGTTTAGTCTCCAAATGAGGAGCTAAACTTCCATTTCTTGGTGTTGCTCTTGAAGCTTGTTGATTATTAAAGTTGTGAGTTATTTTCTTATCTTCTTCCCTTGAATATTAATTATTCTCTTAATCTATCTATATATTAATGTTGGGGAGTGTTGCTAAGATGACAATTAGTTAACATCTCGACATTAATTATGGTAGTATTTATTTTCTTCCTCTATATATTAATGTTGGGGAGTGTTGCTAAGATGACAATTAGATAACATCTTGACATTAGTTATAGTAGGAGTATTCATGTTTAATCTTCTTCCTTGAATATTAATTCTTCCCTTAATCTATCTCTATATTAATGTTGGGGAGTGTTGCTAAGATGACAATTAGTTAACATCTCGACATTAATTACTACTAGAAACGATCAACGAACCGATGGTTAATTGTTGATGGCTTCACAAGTAAGTAACTTCGGTTTATTAATGCACGGTCGTGGTTAATAAACTTAAGAGGGATTAATTTTGTTGGTTAAACCGAAACCGTTGTGTTGAGGTTATCAATCTCAATTGATTTCATCAAGGAGTTAAGAGATTAAATGCTACTATTAAGTCGGTATATGGCGGTGTTCTATACTTGACTAATAGTAAGGGTTATTAATGAACGGTCGTTGTTAATAACTACCCTCGATGAATTGGATATACTCCTCGATTGAGGATTCGAGAGGGAATAAGTTATAGATATAACAATGATCGACTAAAATATATCAACAAGTGGAAAGTAGCAATGCCAAGTCCTTTTTATCTTTGAATTAAATCACATATAAGTTGTTCATCTTTGTGTTTAATCAAATTAAATCACTCAATCCTAAAAAACCCCTTTTATTTACTAGTTTTATAAAAAGAGAATTTTTTGCTTTCCCTGTGGATACGAACTCTACTACGCTATACTACGTATAAGTGTTAGTATTGAATTTATTTTGACGCACCGTGACAAAGTGCACGTCAGTAATTATTATGGAGAGTTTTACAAGTTATGATTTATTGGTTATAAGTTCCTATATTTAGTCTATAAGTTTACTGCGTTGTAAGATCAGATGCAAATCCAAGGGCTGAGATTACTTCTCACTTCTCATTTTAAGGGGCACTTTTCACCTGATCTTTTACCTATATATATATATATATATATATATATATATATATATATATATATATATCTTACTATATACATTAAGCGCCTAAGCCTGTTAGTTGGCCTGTTTCCGTTTATACAGTCTGGATGGAAGATCCTTTTCGTTGTTCCTACTGTTGTCTTCCGTTTGAGACCGCGATATAATATCCAGCTCTTTCTCTTGCGATGCCAGATATAACTTCGTTTCCTTTCTGCGCTCTTCGAATTGATAGTCTAGGGTTCGCAAAATCCTTCCACTGAAGCCGCCCAGAGTTCGCAACAATCCTTCAGCCGAAGCCGCCCCGAGTATCATTGCTTCCCCAGTAAGATTTCTTATCTACTTTGCTTCTCTTTTGTTTCTATTTCATGGGGGGGGGGGGTCGGGGGGGTCGGGGGGTCAGAGAAGTTCTCTGTGCCATTGCTTTTTTTTTGTTCGAAATTGGTGTCTCTGGATGCGGAGTGTGTGGCCTGATCTGGATGTGGATGGAGTTCAGGTACGCGGTTTAGTTCTGCACGTGTTTTTCCAGTTGGTTGGATGAGCATATCTTCATCTGTGTTTTTGTTTTCCCAGTTGTAATTGGGTCTTTTGGGCAATTCTCAAGCCTGTAATGGTTTCAAGCATTAATTGTTTTCATCCGCCCCAGCCCATGAGATGGAATGTTTCAGCGGCGATTCCCTCACCTCCTCCTCC